TGTGACGAAGATTCGAACCCGCGACCCGCAGATTGCGAGTCGAGCGCCCTAACCACCTAGCCATGCCGGGCCTATTTTAACAGAGGATTGTTAGGGGAGAAACATAACAATATTCTCCTATAAGATGTACCTGATCATCAAAATGACAAATTTCAAAGAAAATGTATTAGTTTGTTGTTTTAACACATTATTTCACTTGGATGCACCTCCAACGTATTTGTATCTTGTATTTATCGCAAAGCTAATAAGATGATTCGCTGTCGTTTCAAATCTTTAATTACTGACCACAGGAAAAGCAACCAATCATCAGCACCCTACCTACAACGAGTGAAGGTAACGGATGGACGACCACTCTTATAACGCATCCAAAGCTTAAATTGCGCGGATTAGTGTGGTGTCGCAAGAATTCGAACCCGGCTAGCTAACCTCAGAAATCCAAAGCTCTCCCACAGGATCATACAACACCCCAAGCACTACTGCAGCAAACAAAAAATGTAAATTTCTTTTGTCAATTTTAATTTGACGATATTTAAAACTAATATGTTTTTACGCATCAAGTTAGATATCCTAAGACTCTCAGCATTTCTCAAGAGCAATTTCCTATTACACTATACATATTGTTACGACAGTGGAAGTCACGTGACGCTGCCGGCGCGTTTGCCGCTGGTAGCGTGCGTGAAATTTCTCGAATGATCATGAATTATCGGGTAAGCCCGAGTTTGTTCAGGACGCCCTCTTTTTTAGTATACAAGCCTGGCAGTGAAAGCCTGCGATATTGAATGAAGAGAGTTCCGGGTAATTTACGATTCTGTTTCGAGCTAGTGTGTGAAGTTATCGAGATTGTGAATCCTTGTGATTTATAGCGTGTATTATAAAAGTAGTTAAGTTTAAAGTGACGAGAAATGTACTGATTGTGAAATTACTGTGTGCTAAAAGTTTGTATCGAGGAAGAATAAACTGGTTCAACCAAAAAAGGATTTGTATCGCTGAAGTTTCTCGGAAAGAATTTATACCGAAAATTAACAAACAAGCAGATACGCAACAATATAATTTCATTATAATATAAAGGATGCTTAAATGTTTTTTGTTTACAGCTTCGAATAAAAAAACATTTCACGTTTCTGTAAATGAGTTTTCTGTCGAAGAGTTATATTATTGTTATTTTATGTATGATTTGTCAAAGCTTATGATGAAAGGTAGTATTGTCAAAAATAATTTAAACCTTTCATGTGGAATATTTTAACTATAAATATCCTTTTTTAATTGTTTTTTTTCTAGTTACTATTTTAACATGTGCTAGGAAAAGAATTTAGTAAACTTAACAACAAACACCCTCTTCAACTATTCTTTCTAGTTTCTATTTAAACAAGTGCCAAGAAAACTATTCAGTAACAAAACTTAACAATAAATATCCTCTTTAACTGTCTTTTGTATTTATTTTTTGGTTGCTATTTTAACACGTGTTAGGAAAAGAGCTCAGTAACCATAATAGTAAATATTTTCATTAATCATTATTTTTTGTTGCTATTTTAAGAAGTGCTTGGAAAAAATTCAATAAGCACAGCAATTTAGTCGTTCTTTACTTGCTGTTGTTTTAATAAGTGCTGGAAAAAAAAAAAAGAGTTCAACAAACTTAATATAAATGTCCTCTTTAACTGAGTTCTTGTACCACTAACCCTGATGAAGCCAAAATGGCGAAAGGTGGGCAGAATTCTTTTTATCATTATTTGGAGAGTAAAGGTCACTTTTCCCAACCTTATTGTCAAAATATCTAATACTTCTAGTATGCGCTACAAATTCTGAAAAACAATTAACATGCCCTCTTTAACTGTTTTTTTTTGTCATTGCTATATATGTCCACAAGTGGTATAAAAGATTTAATAACGTGTAATAAAAATAGGCCTAACAAGATTTAAATGTAACTAAGTTTGTGTCATTATGTTTTTTTAGTATCACTATTGAGTTGTACTTCAGAAAATCAGCATAAAAATTTCACAAAAGGATCCTGTTTTTCAAGACATTCAGTTTATTATTTAAAGGGTGGCTGGGTGCTCAACTCGCAATCTGAGGGTCGCGGGTTCGAAAACCCATCATCGAACATGCTCGCTCTTTCAGCCATGTGGGCGTTATAATGTTACGGTCAATCCTTCTATTCGTTGGTAAACGAGTAGCTCAAGGGTTGGCGGTGAGTGATGTTGACTAGCTGCCTTCCCTCTAGTTTATAACTACGAAATTAGGGACGGCTAGCGCAAGTAGCCCTCAAGTAACTTTGCTCGAAATTCCAAATAAACCAAACTATTTATAGGAATTCACATTCAATGAATCATGTCCTATATATACATTTTACTTGAAGGTACTCTTGTTACTTCACTCAATTTTCAAAAATATTACTTTTTGATATATATTTCACCTTCTAACGGTTTGTAATTAAGTTTGTTTCAATTTAAATATTGTGTGTTCTTGTTGTTGTCATTGATTTTATTACTATTATGATTCTTTGAATCAATGCATTTTAGTTTGGCTTCAGTCCAATTTCTTCTTTTCA